GAAGAACGTTGCCTGTTGAATATTAAAAACAAATGAACAAACAAAAAATCTGGATCTCCATGTCTGACATGCAAATCAACTGTTCATGCGCATCTCCAGACTGGATCTCTTCTCTCCACTTTCCCTAATTGCAGATTCAATTATTAGATCTGTCCGCATTAATATTTTTATACTTCGATATTTTTGGGGGGAACAAACTGTAACACCGTGTGTCCCAACCAGACGCGATGCGATAAAAAGTATCTTTTCCATGGAGTTTTTGTCCTAACCACCTGCGACAGCGACACAGGATTCTATTTTAGAAATGGTTTTTATTTTCTGCGACATCGCGGCAAGAACAACATACAAAATATGATGTGCTCGTCTGTGCAGCCAAAGACAGAACAGTTAGCATGTTTTGCACAAACTTTCACCATGGCATTAGAACTAGTACACCGTTGTCGCTTGCGAAATCAAAATGACGGCGCCGTGGGTGGAAACTTAAAGATTAAGGGGCGGTAATATTATAATGAGATCCCTTTGCCACGTCACCAAGGGAGCGAAATCAGACGCGCTCGTTTTCTCAGACGCTTGCAGAAAAAGGTTTCCCCAAACAAAGTTTCTGGGTTAATCTTTTTCACGTTTCCTTGGTTGGTAGATGTACCGGGGGCCTGATTATAGCATTTAAAACCTGGAAAAGTAAGATTTTCATGATATGTCACCTTTAAATCAAACTTGTATGTTGAAACTGTGAACTCACTGCGAACCAACACGTGTATATTCCATAACAAAGATCGTATCAGTCACAAAAATAGTTCAGTCCATTCACATTTGAATGGTCTATTTTCCGTGTCCACATTTCTTCACATTCGCCATGTTTTTGCCGTCACATCGTATCTACACTGGACGCGACAAAGCATTGCAAATCATTTGAACTTTGTCAGTACATCATAAATAAAACGAGTCAGTTTACTGTCGGGGATTTGTCGTGTCGCGCCGCATCCAGTATAGACAGCATCACTGTTTATAATGGGTTCTATTGTATTTTGTTGCGTCGCACCGCGCCGCTCGCATCCAGTGTAGACACGATGTAAGTTAATGTGGCTTTCTGATGCTGCGTTTGAATTTTCATGCCACATTATTTGAAACTAGCGTGGGCCAAACATTTTTCTCTCGCGGGCCGTCTATTGAGGAACCCTGAAATACACCGTGCACACATTTTTTGAAATCACTATGAAGAAAATTAATTCCTGGAAGCAATCCTGCAGAAAGTGTGTGGTCTCTGTTGTAATCTACTAGAGTCAGTGGGCGGAAAAGCAGAAATAAAGCCGTCATGAAATGAAGATAAAGAAGATAGCAACTCTAAGACATCTGAGCTGAAGATTCGAGGTTGTCTGGACCAGCGTTATTTTCTAGCTGTGCACATGTTAAAAAGCCTTGAAACTCATCACATTAGATAAAAATGATCTCATTTGTGGACTTTAGCTTCTCTTTTTACCAGTTTTAGCTGATTATAGTTTTTTGTATTTCTCAAAATAACATTTGTTGTATTATTATAAAGTCAAATCACTTTTTTTATTAAAAGGTTTATTACACAAGAATATTATCATTTCATATATAATGCATTTTTAACGAAAACTTGATTCCGCCATGGGATAAAAAATAAGTTTTTACCTCATAATTCAGACTATTTTTCTCACAATTCTGTAAAGAAAAGCCAAAACTGTGAATTATAAACTAACATGTGCCAGAAGTCAGAATTGTGAGATAAAAAGTTGCAGATCCCTTTTTTAGTTTTTCTTCCATGGAAGAAGCCAAAACAAAAAACAAAAACGGAATTGCGTAATGTAAACACTGAATTCAGAGGAATAAAAAACAGAATTGTGAAACATAAACTCAGAACTGCAAGAAAAAAGTCAGAATTCTGAGTTTATATTTCACAATTCTAGTTATTTTTTTGCACAATTCCAAGAAAAAAAAAAAAGAATTCTGAATTGTGCAATATAAAATTTTGCAATTATATATATATATATATATATATATATTTATATACTGTACATACACATACACACACACACACACATATATATATATATATATATATATATATATATTATATACATACACACACACACACACACAGTGTTTGCGAAAGTTACTTTTAAAAGTAACAGATTACAATATTGCGTTACTCCATAAAAAAAGTTGTGTTACTTGGTTACTTTTTATGGAAAGTAATGTATTACATTACTTTTGCGTTACTTTTTCTCACCTGAGCTGGGCTTGCTTTTGTTTTTTAATAACAATAAAACCCAAAAGTAATATTTTTGGCAACTGTAAAGGCTCTTTCACACCAAAAGTGAAATTAATAAATGGGAAAATAAAGTAACTTGCATTACTTATTTGAAAAAGTAACTCAGATATTTTATAGTAAGTTTGAAAGTAATGTTTTTTTGTTTTTTTACTAGTTACTTGAAAAAAGTAATCTGATTACATAACTCACAATACTTGTATATAAAATCACTTACAAGTACAGTCAAATTTTTTGCAAAAACATGACACTATTAATAAAACTGATTTAGTCTTTTATATGAATTTTATTCTGTTCGGACGTCCTTCCTGTAGCCTAAACAGCACTAGCATTGCCAAGGTCATGGTTTCGATTCCCAGAAATAGCACGGACTGATAAAAAAAAGTGTACCTTGAATGCAGTGGAAGTCACTTCGGATAAAAGCCAAATGCATAAATGTAAATTTAATGTCAATGAAAAGTTGTACAAAATAACCCAGCGTTTGTGAACCTACTGTAATACCTGTTTCCGTGGACGTGTGAGGCACAGAAGGCATAGCTGTAGTGTAGGAGGGTCGGGTCCACCAGGGCGTTGTTATTGGAGAAGTCCATCAGGTCTTTCAGGTAGCAGAGGTGACGATGACAGCCCCTCACCCCGTATCGAGCGCAGTACTCGTCCAGAACAAACACCTGGCCCGGGCTGAACCAACCCTGAAACACAACAACAGGTTCAGAATAAAACACATTTACTATAAACATGCAATTAGCTGATCTCAGCCATTCCTGACCAGAGTACATCTCTGCTTCTCTGGACTATTTATACTGTACTATATCACATCATATTATACTATACGCTAATAGAATATTGATTAAAAGTGACAGTAAAGACATTTATAATGTAACAAAAGATTTATATTTCGAATAAATACTGTTCTTTTGAACTTTGAAAAGAATCCTGAAAAATGTACAAGTATTTCCACAGAAACATTAAGAAGCAAACACCATTTTCAACACTGATAATAAGAAATGTTTCTTGAGCATCAAATCAGCATATCACAATGATTTATGAGCGATCATGTGACACTGAAGACTGGAGTAATGACTGCTTTGAAATCACAGAAAGAAATAAAAAACAGCTATTTTAGAATGTGACATTTCCAGAATATTACTGTTTTTACAGTATTTTTGATTAAATAAATGCAGCCTTGGTGAGTATAAGAGACTAAATAACAAAAAAAAATTATTATTCAAGTCTATTGTAGTGTATACCATTTGGATTAAAACTAAATCGTAAAAATAAGACCATTTATAGGGGCACTCATAAACATCATTTATTTTCAACCTTAGGCATACATGACTTTCTGGTGAAAGTGAATCTAGCAGCCTGTGTGAAATGCGTTAGGCTGTAGCCTACTACTTGTCCCTAAATACGTGCACGCGTTGCGTATTTTGCTTGCTTGAGTGTTTGTGCATTATATGAGTGGCTTTGGAATATAAATCGCAGCATGTTTCAGATGAAAAAAAAACGCGACTTCTATTTCTGAAAATATCACAGTTAGGAGATTTATAACAAGTGGTTCCCTGCATTATTACAGCAAAGCGCGTGATTACAGTACTAAGCCGCTG